GCTTTCAAAGAAGTTGATTGAAAACCTTTAAAAGGCCATGTCAATAAACTTATAATATAAGATTACAAGCATCTTTATTTTCTCTTTCGAACAATGAAAACCGCACTTCTCTATCTTTTTTTTTATCAAAACTTGTCCCAAAAATGTTCAGTGAATAAGATTTAGTATAACCGTCACATATGATAGAAAAACAGGTTTTATCGAAATTCTATTGTTATGATATTAATTGAAGTATGATCAAATAGCATAGAAAAATAGAACATCTTTTTCTCTATCAGACTATATCGAGAAAAAGTTTCTTGAAGCTGACTATGCGGTATTAAAATGTCACTGCCACTACTTTTGGATACCCCTAAGTAATAGATTTATTCATATTTTATTTGCTAAAAACAGAATCTAACAGAACTGTTGATGCACATCAACTATAAATTTATTTTTCTAATGCAGATCATTGCGAAATCTGACAATTATATTAAACACGACTCATCACACACATAACTGACACCTTCTTCAACAATATCCTCTGCATTAGGGCCAGAGAGTAATACATATATTTGCCAGTAGCACTATTCCGCAATGTCACCTACTGTAACAGAACATGCGGAGACACAATTATAAAATCAAATATCAATAGTATCTTATTACAACGAGTAAACTAATTTCTTATTGCATTACCTGAGAATTCAGTAAACACTCGGTGAAGAAATATTTCGTTAAAAGAAAATAGAATTAAAACATTTCTTTGTAATCCATAAAATTCCTCATATCATATTTCCTATTGTCGTTCTGGTAGCAATCAATACTTGGTAATCATTGAAATGAAAAAAATCGGAGTTCCACTTGAATATGTTTGAAAATGATCTACGCTAATCCTACGCGCTAATTCAATTAATTTCCTCACTACTTTGAAGGCAGTAAATTTGCAAATGGTATTGTGATATTTTGTTGGGGGATAATATTATGACTGTGATATTTTTCTCATAAAAATCGACCTATACTTGATTTTCAATCAATCTCTTTACACATCAGAATAGAATAAGAAATAATTAAAGCGCTTCGTTTTTTTTTCGTACTATTTTGAATCGAATTTTCAAACAATTAACAAGGAACCCTGGAAAGTTCTTATAGAATATAAAAATTAATTGATGGATGTCTGAAAAGGCTTATCAGACATGAATATTGCGCATGTTCTGAACTCGACTTTAATAATTAACCTTTATCATTTTGTTGAAAAGTGTTGCAAAATAATTACCCAACTTAGAAGTCATTTTCTTTATTAAAAGCTTTATTATAGGAAATTATTGCTGCGGGATAACTTCCTCTAGATAAAGAAAAAATATTTTAATGCATGTCGGTCTTACTTTTTTTCTGCATTATTATTATGCTTATATGAAGAGGGAATTTTTCCAAAATATTTATTCTCCCTCGAACAAAAGTTAAATTGACTTCGTTGTTTTTCAAGTAGAGGACAATCTTATGGAAATACTGGTTACGATACTGACATGATTAGATTTGGGCGGAGACATAAGACTGCAAAGTGTAGCACGAGTTAATTATGATGGTTCCGTTTTAAATTTATTGTTAATTTGATTTTTCTTGATATTTCTCATGGTAATGCTATTATAGTATAAAGCTAGGCTTTTTACTCATATTTTCAATGAATGATAAATTAGTAGGCACTAGTAAATCCGATTATTTTACAATAAAAAATAACATCTTTTATTATTGATTCTAATTCGAATTGAAAATTATTCTTTTTCATTGTTAATGTCTTGTTGAGAATGAAATCTAAAATAGTACGTTTTTCTATGTCAAAAATAGAATAATTCTAGAAAAACTGTCAGTGCACTCCTTTCGGGATTGAAATATAAAATAAGTCTTCACTAGAGATTTACGTAATAGTTTAGATATGCAATAAGTCACTCGTGCATACATCACAATATTTGATAGTTAGTGACAAGTATCGCTTCCGATCTTTACGAAAAAATTAGGTTCTTAGTTTTATCCCTGTAGTTTAAAACTTCGTTTCGATTGTCTTTTTTTTTTGAGAAGAAAACAAAAACCGCTCGAAACGCGGGAAATGACCTTAAAGGTCATGAAGAATGTTACATTTACCTTTGTAATAAAAAATATTCAGAAAAACTACTCGGCAAATAGATTATTCTCGTGATAGTCTACATTAAACTGATAGAGGTTAGAAAAATCAGTGTTTTTTTTTATAAATAGATGAAACAAAAAAAACAACGTTTCTGATGCCAGGTGAATCCCGCTTTGATTCACTACTTTATCATTTTTAACATATAGTTTCCATCAATAAAGATAATAGTGACAGTAGAAGATCGCCTAAACAAACGTATACCGTGTCTATCATTATAGAATTCAGAGGACTTCATCAGTATTTTATATAAACAAAATCGTTGCTATTGATACAGCACATGTGTACATTATTGACCCTAACGGTAAAAGCGTTTCCCTCTTATTCACTTAATAAATGACCTAGAATTTTATGTAATAGAGAATCTTGTCCTAAATATTAATCCAGCAAACAAGAGTTAGATTCGTTCCATTGCCTACATCCTTTTGTGATTAATGCATTGTAATTGCTTTTTTCCTCTTTTTGTACCAGAATGACAGACAGGTTTCCGAATCATTTTACTATCTATCAGTCCACGGATAAAAGCCAAAGGCAAATAAATAAGCAGTAACAACCAAGTAAAAGAAAATGATATCTTACGTATCCTTATTTGCCAGTATGATATGTTTTCCGCTCTATTTGTTCGTTCATTCATTAACATTTCCAAAAACTATTGGATCAGATTGAAAAGCTGTTTTTGCCTAAAATTGCTATTCATTCTAGCAAAGAAAGATAAAAACAAGTTAGGAGAGGCGGTTCGGATGATGAAAAATTCAATCGATCATAGAATTTATGGTTCATTTAAAGTGAGACATAACATGTTTATCAACGACGATGATTTAATCAGGTAGAAAGCATGTTCTGCTTTTAACATTTTACTCTTTGCCATCTATATTTTTACTACTCTGCAATCTACAAAACATACATTTCAAGCTGCCGAGACCTATTCACACCCGATTGTCAAGGGAAACATGAATTATCTATTTTGATAGTATAATTGATAAACAAAAGAACATGTTCATCCAAATATCAAAAATATATTATATTTTTCAACGGATATTTTTAGTATTTTAGTTTTAGTCGATCAGCAAGATTATAGAAAATTGTCTTATCAATCAAATGATAATAGCAGTAATTATGTACCAGTCTGATAAAATATGACATGATGATGAAAATATGCAATAGATCAATAATCCGTATGCTACTCGTATATACTTAGGTCTGACCAAAAGTTCTGCAATTTAAAAATAAATTAAAGAAAAAGAAAGTTCGAGTTTTATTTTATTAAATGTTGCTGATAGTTGCCATGATTATATATATATATCAAGTTGAATCCTTTCTAACAATTTGTTAAAAGGTTTTTTGAACTTTCTTTCGAAAAGATTTTAGATACCTTGGATACCACATAGGCTAATCATATTTCATTGTTTTAAAAATTTTGTGAAATTTTGTTCGATCATGGCAGTTGCGTGCTAGCACTACTAGTGATGGGATATGGATCTATTNATATCAAGTTGAATCCTTTCTAACAATTTGTTAAAAGGTTTTTTGAACTTTCTTTCGAAAATAGTTTAGGTACCTTGGATACCACATGGGCTAATCATATTTCATTGTTTTTAAAATTTTGTGAAATTTTGTTCGATCATGGCAGTTGCGTGCTAGCACTACTAGTGATGGGATATGGATCTATTTTCGATAGGTTAGCCATAAGTCATCTGATGCTAGCTGGCTTGTTGAAGATCAATCGTCAAAAACTATTGTTCATGAAGGCAGATATTAACCAAAACGTTGTTTAGTATATTCTTTAAATCAAATAGTCGTCAGTGTAGATAAAGGCAGGACTATAAGTCACAAGTATTATATTGAAAATTATCCGAAGGCTTTTGGGAATGAAATTTGGAAATAAACAGAGATATCAGGGCCAAAATTGCTTGACGATCATCGTTGTCTCCATACTTATCCAATGTTATTAATTAGATAACAGAAGAAGGGATCGATGTAACGTCATATCCATCATATTCGCCAGACCTGATACTATGTAATTTTTGGCTAACCAATTCTATTGAACGTAGTTTCGCTAATAAAATAAATGAAATATGATTAGTTCATGTGGTATCCAAGGTACCTAAAATATTTTCGAAAGAAAGTTCAAAAACCCTTTTAACAAATTGTTAGAAAGGATTCAACTTGATATATATAATCATGGCAACTATCAGCAACATTTAATAAAATAAAACTCGGACTTTCTTTTTCTTTAATTTGTTTTTAAATTGCAGAACTTTTGATCAGACCTAAGTATGTGCCAAGTTTTATTTTTACATCTCAATAAGTAAACGTATATTCGTATGTCTGATTTCGATGCAACTGATTGGTCGATTTTAATAGTATCCCTACTATCATGTCTTGTACTATCGAATGTAAGTTGATCTACTGATATCTTTATGTCACATCGACATATGAACAAGTAATATAATTATGTTATGGTTATCCTAATTGCAACTGTTGCTATAATATCATAAAAAATTTTTTGTAAACATGAAACCAGTAATATACATATATATGTGGTAAAATGAACATTTTACAATAATAACTTGTATACCATCAGAAACTTGGCTGCGTACACCTTTTACATTTATATTTTCTCGTTTCTAATAAGTAAAAGAGAGAGTTGATGTCATCAGTTAGAGGGAACGCGCACCAGAGAGAGGGGAGGATAAGAGAACACTGATGAGGCTTGGAGAGGAATACGGAGAAAAGAGAACGAAGAAGAAAAAAGGAAGAAATGCACGTGAATGTAAAACAAAATTGAATGAGATTCATTTGTGTTTTGTTCTTGGCTGCTTGAACAATCATATACAAATAAATCATGAATGATTCATCCAATTTATTTTCAATGCGCAGTCAGGCCGACGCACAGTTAGCTGATCGTGTACTTGCTATATATTCTCTGGTTCTTATTTTAATTGGTACACCATGTAATCTACTTTGCTGTTTAGTTTACTTTCAAAAAGAAAACCGGTCCAGCTCAATAAAAATTATATTCGGATATTTAGCTATCCTTGATACCATTGTTTTGTATACATTTAATTTAAATTATGTCATACGAGAGTTTAATCTTGACTATCAATTGATTTATTATGGTAAAAATATTAGTAAAGATGGAAGTTTAGACTTTCTTACTAGTGATAGCATCAATATTATTGTTGTTAAAAGAAATCTCGAAGAATATTCTCTGTCACTATGTCGTCTTCTGTCGTATATAGGTAAGAAATCATAGATAAACAAATGAAAAATATCAGTCTATCTTGACAGATTTCATTTAAAAAAAAAATCCTTCGAAAAAAAACCTTTTTTTTTCATTATCTTTTTTCCAGCTTTCTCTATTCTCCAAACATCATCTTGGATATTAGCATTTGGTTCATTAAATCGCTATTTACTAATATCAAAAATACAATATTTTCAATTTATTTGTCAACGATCATATACAATAATTATATGTTTATGTATAACGATTTCAATTTTTCTTGCAAATATTCATATACTTTGGATGAATGGTTACCGTTCGCCGGAAGGTAGTATAATATGTTATCAAAATAGATATTTCAGCACCTACATGTTATGGTATCAACGTATTCATTTATGTATCTATTCGGCTTTGCCCAGTGTTATTTTATTCATTTTAAATTCCTTATTAATGCGGATCGTCTTCGATAGTAAAAAACGTTTGCATAGCCATAGAAGTCAAAGCTCATCAACGGTAATTTCACCTACAGAAGAGAGACATAAACAACGATTTTCAGTGCAACGTTTATCAATAACACCATTAAGAAAAGTGAATAAGACTAAATCAAGATCATTGAATCGACATAGCAGAAAATTAACCTTGTCATTAATATTTATAACATTATCTTATTTTGTATTGACATTTCCATCGACTGTTATTTTTTCTTTTTTCCGTCCACACATTGAACCTTTAAGTTTACGCCGTACATTATCGCTTTTATTTACAAATTTATCAACAACAACACATGTTATTCGATTTTTTATCTATTATTTTTGTTCAATCGATTTTCGAAACAATTTTTACAATTTATTTTCATGTAAGAGAAAAACTCATTTGCGAACCTCTCATACAAGATAATAGCCTAGAGTTTATCGTGATATAGTAATTATTTGTAAAATAATGCTAAATAAAGAAAAAGAAAATTGGCATGACAAATGAAAACACTATACGACCTTTAAACATTGAGAATTACTATAATTCTCATTTTTTAATAAACATATTAAATGCATGCGTGATCATAACTATTCGATTCTCTTGTGTTAAAAAGTGCCGAACTACATCAATATCATCAAATTAGTTTTTCTCCTCTCTTCGTCCCATATAGTCTAAAGTGCGTACACGTGTCCTAATCGTTATAAACAGTTCAATGAATACTACGTTGAGCATTCTCTTTCACAACATGACAGCCTGTCTATACAATGATTTAAGTTCTATGTGTGCGTGTCTATGGATATGTGGCGTGTGCATCAATTCACTACGCTCAACAAATATTACAAAGCAACCTTCATAAAACGCGGGGTTATTATTCAGGACCCGTTCTAATTGAATCGATGCGTGCACATTGTAGTTCAATGATTCTTAAAAATACAAAATAGGAAAACAAAATGAATGGCTAAAAAATTAACATTCTCTCGTGTTTTTTCGCTTGTGAATTCCTTGAAGAATAAATTATGAAGAACATTTATGCGTGGATTAACTACACTGAGAGATAGAAGAAAAAAAGAATCATATTCCATGATTAAATGAATACCATATTTATATTTATATTTATAATCTCGAGTGAATATATTCAATAGTTTACTCGATTATATTTTTACTCAATTGTTGTGCCTCAGGATATCAACATCAACATTTATTTTTTTTCAGAGAGATTCCCATTGATATAGAAAATCATCATGGGCAACAACAGTGTTATAGATTAAAAATGCTTTCGATTGGATTCGAACTATGTTCTTTATTCATTTCTACACATTTAACGAATTCATCCAAACACATCATGATGATATACACAAAAAAACAAAAAGCATTTTCTATACATTAAAATCAAGTGTCTTCTAAGCTTCAGTACTATACATCGTTTGTTGAATACGTTTACGTAATTCATTGACTTTTTCCTCTTGAGCACGAATATGTTCGTCCGTAATGTTAATATACTAGAAAAGAAAAATGTACATATATATATATATATTTTTTTTTTGAGAGAGATTTTAATTAATGAACTAACATTAATTAATGGTTGATCGCGTTGAATATAAATTGTTGGATTTTTTTGAAATTGTTTATTTTGACCAAATAATGCACGTGAATTGCTATAAAGATGAAGTGATGTTGCGAGACTGATCAGAACAGTTTCAGGTGACATGTTCAAACCAACACCTGGAAGAAAAAAAGTAACAGCATACATTAGTTCATCACTCTATTCAATGTTAAGTTAATCATTTTTGATTTATTGTTTTTGAAGTTGACGTGATATCAATATTACGAAAAAAGATTTTGAAATAAAATATCAAAACTTATAGAGAAAATGCAGTGGATCTGTTAGATGTTCTAATATTTCATTTTATTTAATGTCTATATCAAGTATTAAATTCAAAAATTTAATAGCAATCGACACTTATGATAGAGGATTAAAAATAAATTAAGTTGTACCAAAATTTCAAGAAACTCGAGATGGCACAATGATCCATTTCATTTGATATTTGTTGTCTCTTAAATGTTCATGACTATTGAACTCTGTTGCAGAAAAATGTCGAGGTCGGAAGTCTGTTAATATGTTTTTTTGACGTCAATATACTCTATTCAATGAAGTCAAACGAAAATCGTCACTTTGAATATTTCCTTTATACATCAAGGCATAGGAGTTTTCTTTTTCTTTTTACTTTTTATTGGTTCTGGTAATTTAATTTGTTCGAAAGGTTTTTCATCAATATCGCTCGGTCTAATATTTTGAAAACGTTTCTCCCAGAAAAGCTGTCTCGGCTTTGTTTTCTCGCTTGGCTTTCCGTTAGCATTCGACTTTGTTGCATTATTAATTTGAGCCTTGACTTCATCACGATCTGTTGGATAGTGGGTGACAGGTTGCTTAAATATCGGTAATGTTTGCCGCAAAGGACATCTTAATGATGTATCAGATTTCGAACCTATGAAATGTAAACAAAAACAAAATTGTAAACATAGAATAAACAGGTGTAACAAACTTCGAACAGTAGAATTTCCATCGATCGTAGGTTTAACACCATTTCCATGATTAACTTTCAGTTTTTTCGTAGCATTATCTTGAGGCAATGACCGAGTTAATTTCGGTGGATTAACGTTCAATGAACGATTTGCATTTGATATTAATAATGATGATGAATTGATTGTTCGACCTGTTGATTCATGCATATTATTAATCTAAAATTTTATTTATATTTATTTAACAAATTCTTGTCATTATCGTGAATAATAAAATATACAATGATTATTATTTTTTTCTTATTACAAATTAGAATAAAACTTTTAAAAAAAAGTTATTTGTTCTTGTCAGCTTGATAGGATTGATTGATTGATTGATCTGTGGTTTGATGCAACGGATTGGCTTAGTAATCATACATTTGTTTCTGAAATATCACTTATAGAACATACACACTCATTCTGAAGTCATATTCTAATTTATTCTCGACTCAAAAGCACTAAGTAAGAAAAGTGTTAAAAAAATAGGGGCATCGTAATTTAAAAATCATATAGATGTCACTGATTTTGATCGAGTCATCTCTCTTAGCTACAAATATCTTTGTTTTATTTTGTATTAAAACTACAACTTTACATTTTTATTGTTCATTTTACGTTAACGATTGACTCATTGCTAACGAGTTTGGTTTCTTAGTTCTCGATCTTCAACTATTTTATCATCATTATTTACTAATAATATTAAAGAATAAAACTATGCTACTGTTTTACGTTGAATTAAGTAAGCATGATGGGAAACAATTATTTTATAGCTAGCATTCATAATCTCTCGGATTTAGTGCACTCTTCGATAGTTTGCCTATATCTGAGCATGAGTTAATCGATTTGAAAACATTTTGAATCAAATAAAGTTTAGTTTCTTTAATCGAAGAATAATCTATTCATTGATGAAAATCTATTCTCTTGCTTATTTAGGTATGCTTTTACTGAACGAATGAGAGAGAGAGAGAGAGAGAGCATCTTGCAATATTTGCGTCACCAACGTCAAATTTAAAGATCAGTTGTAGCGACAAAAATCAAGTCTCTATTAAGAAAAAGTTACACTCATAGAAGAGTAAACTAGATTTGTTTTAGAAAATAGAATGATACACTACAAGTACGTCTACAGCTTTTCTAAGTCTACTTTTAATTGAGTACTGTCTTGAAACAAACGTCGCTTTGAATTGCTGTCTCACGAACAAGAATACTTATATAATTTCAACTACGATGAGTTTTTTCTATATAAGAAAAAAAAGATTCGCCCCATACAAATATATTTTCTTAAAAAACAATTGAAAAAATTGCTTCATTTATAAATTAGATTTATTTCCGAGTAAGTGTGTATGTCTTAGTGAATAGATGTGTTTAATCATACGACTTTTAGAAGTCGACGCTTAGTCTTCGTTCACGAGTCCACAGATCCAATCAGATGACTATAGATTCAATTAATTCATCAATTAATGATGATATGATCCATTGAGTATTATCCAATGTACATTCAGGTAAATATTCATTTGATGAAATAGATCTTGTTCGACGTTTTTTATTGATGATTCTCGATGAGGATGATGGATGTTTATTTCGTAAACGTTTACTAATACGATTACTATTTGGATCAATGATTGGCTGTTGAAGGAATTGATTTGGTGAAAATTTTGCTTCATTAGGAATTAAATTTGGATGATGAAAACGGCAATAGATCTTTTCGATAATACCATCAATGCGAGAGGATTTTTCTTCGAATTGTTTAGTTGTTAATTTTACTGAATGAGTTGTTGAACGTCGATGAGGAGTTGGCTGATGATGATTATGAGATTCTTTTTGATGAGGCTAAAATTAATTTTTAAGTACCAATCAAACATTGTTGAACAGTTCAATGGAGTTTTTTTTAATGATTAGGATGATTCAATCCTATTTTAATATATGATTTCAGTAATCAAAAAATTGTAATACTAGGAAATAGAACAACCTCTCAACTGTGCATACAATAGGAAATGAGCAAATAAAAACGTTCGTGATATAAAAAAGTGCAATATAGAACACACGCACATAGTTTTCTGTGATCCATATAAAAGCTTCCTGTGTCAACATTACTCTTCTCTAAATGCTGACTAATTTATTCTACAGTCTGATAATATTGTACAATATAATATGAATTACAAGTTAGAAGCCCACATAAAAAACTCGTTGAAAATTTTCTCTATGCTTTTAAATAAACACAGATTTTAATTAATTTTTCTTTCGATTTAACAGTCAATTCTACTTTTTTCTATTTACAAAAGCAATCAACTTAATGATGTCATTATATTCTTTCTGAAAAGACGGATGTAATCGCCTTCAAAAGTGTCATTCTTACTGGAAGTATACGTGTCCGTTTCAAGATGTCGATGGAAAATTTCTTCTATTTCAATCATCTTTTTATCAAAGAAATATAAATTAATATGACGTATTTACAATGAAAAAAAAAATGCAAGAGAAACAAAATTTAGATCTTTAAGGGCAACTTGATTGCTTCGTGCAAAATTAGAATGTGAATGACATACCTACAAGCGGAATCAGTGTTTCTCAAGATTTTTCATTTTTAAAAGAAAGATCTATCTAACCCAGAGTAGAACACTGGACACAAGCCAAGTTCCATTACAATATATTCTCTCATAATTGCATTCTTTTATGGATTTTATAATATTTAGGCTAGTGACTATTCGCGAATTGATTTTAACTGTTACAGAAAAATTCTAGTTTGATGTATATAAAAACAGCTATCATTTTTTAAAATTTCAATTGTAGGCCTTAAATGACCGAAAATCGTTTTAAGTCTATTGACATACCTGATAATCTCGTTTAATTGACAACTTTTCAATGTAATTATCAAAACAATAAGATTTCATATTGCATGGTGCATGTTTAGGTTTTGGTAAACGTGTAAATATTCTTGCTAATTTATCAACACGATATTCACATATAAATAAGTCCGTTGCTAATATTCGACTGCTATATTCACACATGGGTTTACCTTTACAATAAGTGCCTGCATCTAATACGTAGCACGGTCGAATTATGGAATTGATTTCAATTGAATCATTTACTGATGGAAAACGAAATAATTCATTACAAAAAAATTTTCGATTAGCTTCATGAAAAGTTTCATATGAACGGAGATAATAGAAGCCTGATGCTAGTTCAATATTATTATCATCAATCCAAAGACGTTCAATAAAAAATATATTATATTGAGATAATGATGAACTTTCTTCTTGTTTTTCTATAAAATAACATTCATTTATACGAATAATAAAACCATCCGAACGTGTTATGGTTGAATACGACGGATAATTATCGTGAGAGATTTGTATGAATGGTTGACGTAAAGGAATACGAACATTTGTTTTTAAACAAAACGAAGGATTTTGTTCGCACATTGGATGACATTCAAAACAATAGTAAGGCTGAGATGTATCTGTTATTACTACACATGAAACATGTTGCCATAACTAAATGAAAATAAAATATCAATGTCAGTAAAGTTCATGTAGATTGAAACTCATCGTATCAATACAAGATAGGTTAAGTGAAACGATCGATTTTTATTTCTTCTGAATAGAAAATCTATTTTCATTGTTATTGATTTTCTATATTGAACTGGTAAATAGACCTTTTGTATTCGGTGCTGTCAGTCAAAATTTCATTATTTAGAATATTCAAAAGTGTATCTCAAAACTTTGTATGCGGTTCTCCAAATGAGTTATGAACTCAGCCTTTCGTTTCTTATCATTGTACAGATATTATAATTTAACCATAGCTCATAAATTATGTTTTTTTTTCGACAGAAATTTATCTTACCTGACAAGCATAACATTGCACAAGTGAAACTTCATCATAAACCGAACCACATCGACAATGAACAATAGAATCATTCGTTAGGATAGTTTTTGTTGTTCGATTTGTATTTGTTGTATTTGCTTGAACTGTTTTATAAACAACTGGCGTACTAGGACCTACATTATAGATAATATCATAAAGAATTTCTCTTATTTGTCCATTCATAGTTTCTTTTTCATGTAGACGCTCTATAAAATATTGAAGACTAGCCGAATTTCGTTCATTCTTATCTGTATCAGTCATATTGTTAAATAAATCAATCGTTGATTGATAAATAGGCTTCAGTATATCCATTAAATATGTTTCTAATTCTTTGACAGCTCGTCCAACGTCTGAATCTGCACCACAATAAGTCTATGAAAGACACAAGAAAATTCTTATTTTCAAAATAAAAATAAAAAGAACATACAATAGCATTTTTAAATAATAATAATAAATCTTGTTCGAAGAAATCATATGAGAAATATTCTCCATTATCTAACTTATTACGTATCATTGTTAAATCCATAGGTTTTAATATTATTTCATAGTACATAGGATATGAACGTTTTAATGGACATTTTTTCAATGCATTCGATGGATAAATATCAGTATAAAGACATTTATAATTTAATAATAAATCAAAAATTTCATTTAATATTAAATTTAATTGTGCTAATTGAGCATAATAACATGTTTCATCAACGAGCTCTATTGAACATTGACCACTCTTATACGAATGTGAACGACGAATATGATTGTAAAATAAATTTAAAAGATCTATGTAGACGAGAAAAAAAAATATGTCATTAGAATTACTAAGGCTATACGGTATCAATTTTGTATTCCCTAATAAATCGCTCATTTGTTTACTAGTAACAAGCAGCCATACCATCTGCAATAAAGCAGTAATCACTCAACTTTCGTTCATCTAAGCTATGGTTACCAAAATTTTCATGCTCGTTGAATAAGAGATATACAGGAAGAGAGCTGAACTAAAAACTACTATCAAAATTAAGACGATAAAATCTTGTTTCAGTACTCAATACTATGTGATTCCGTTGTATCACTGTCAGACACTAATCTTGATCAGAACTGTAGATGGGCGACTCGCCCTGAAGAATAATACATTGTCTTATCGTCTAAACTGTGCATTATTGCCAGTATATACAAAATAGTAACCTTTATGAGATAAGCTTGAATTTTTTGTTGAGCTGTTTGTTTCTTTTATGAGATTTGGATGATGATAATTTTGTGCGAAGAAAATAGGTAATGGCTGTTCTTCTATGTGTTGCCTATGTTGACTATTATTTTTATCTTTTAATTCTTGTTTTTCTTTTAAACGTCGAATATTGCGTTTTAGAAAAATACGAGACTTTGAAATAATTTGTTTTTCATCTTCTGTTAATGCTTCGATTTTTATTAAATCTTTGTTGATGCGGATAATTTTCTGCTGTTTCTGATCAGTATTGTTCGAAGGTAAAGGTTTTGATTCAACAGGTGAATCTGTAGATAGTTTGGATATGACTTTTTTACTGGGCGATGGCTGTGGTAGTTTTTGTTTTGGCGGATTTAATTTCTTCTTTTTCGATTGTTTCATTGGTTTTAACGGTATATCGATTGTCTTTGGTTGCAGTTGTTGACTAAACCAATAAATATCAAATGGAAGTTGATAATCAATATAACCTAATTTATCATCATCGGATTCAAATATTCCTTTGTAGAATGGTGGTAAAGCACCAGATAGCTGTTGTCGTCGACGAACAGCTCGATTTTTATTACTAAAATATAGATAAATGATCATTAATTTCTTTGAGAAAAATAAATTTTTGCTTTTTGTATTACGAACCTCATGGATTTGACGTTAATATCAGTTGTAGTCTTATAATAATTTGAACGAAGACCATTTTTAATAAAGTTTTGTTTTGGTAATTCTTCGGGTAATAGATCTTCGTCACTAGAATATATTAATGCGAAATTTAGGTAATATTTTCCCTAATGAAATATACGGAATCGAACTTTCTTCATTCTAGAATAGAGGCTATTATCAGTGTTGTGTGGAATAATATCTTTTTTGAATCTAGATGTTACGATAAGCTGCTTCGAATGAACAAGTTCTTTGAGCTACGTTAGATTTTAGTATTTTAAAGAAGTAAAAGCTAAAATCTAAGAAACTGCCGGTTTTGGATAGCCCGACACTAATTTGTATTGAATAAGAAAATAATTTTCATTTTCTCAAAGCTATTATATATGAAGCATAATTTGAGCTCTATGTTTTTACCTAATAATCATGAACTATGTTGTAGAGACACAGCAATTTCTCCTGGTTATACTTTTTAGACCGCATAACCGATACAACTCCTATTGTCATCATCTATTCCGAAACATGAAAATCAAGTTGTCAGTCGATTTATTGCTAAAGTAAAACTTCTCGGAAATATAAGATATTCAAGATTTTCGTCGTGATACTCGTAGTTATTGACATTAATGAATATAAAAATTTCTAACACGCCACCTGTTATTTTACAATTGTGAATATCCATATTCAAATATAGAGGAAAAGATCATCTTTTCTATAATATCGTATCTATCAGAGATTCTCGACTGAAAGATTTCAATGAGGAAAACTGACGTAGTAATTTTAGATGCTTATCTCTTGAAATGTGATTACAACAAAAAAAAAACGCTTCATTCTATGGTTTATGGATCTTACCTATTATCGGAAACCACAGTTTCTTCATATTCATTGATAAATTCTGGTGAGGGCGGTGGTGGTAAGATTTTCTTCTTTTTTCTTTCGTCTATATTTGTATTAATTGTTAATGAGATTTTTCGTTTACGATAATTAGTTGTTTCGTATTCTATTGATGATGAAGATGCAGATGACGGTACTTCTGTTGATTTTAGCACAGGTGTTGGTTCGTTGATAACCACAGGTGGAATTTCTTCACTTACACGACGTTCCATAGATATTATTGGTGCAGACTTATCTTTCAATTTTCTATGCTTTGGTCTACGGCCACGTGTTCTAAACTCTTGTTTACCAGTTGATATTGGCGATTTGAGTGTAATTGTTGTTGTCGTCGTTGTCTCATCCGTACTTATGGGTGATTCAGACTTTATAAAAATTGGTAAATCCTGATTTTGAACTAGCAGTTTAGATTTCGAACCAAAATAATATCCATTTTGAACAGTTGTATGAAGATGTGGATAGTATGTACGTACTAGGATATCTTTAACTTGTTCATAATGCATTTTTTGTTGTTCTTCGATTGTTAAATTTGTTGCTGATTGATTATCTGTTGATAGAAGTAAATCTTTTTTTGGATTTAATTGTAAAATATGGAAAAAATTTTTTGGGTCACGTTTATATGATGATGAATTTCGACGATAAACTGACCAATCAGTTTTAAATGACGCTGAAGTAGATAGCAATGAGTCCGATTTTGTATCTTTATTTTTGCCAAATATTTTTGGTTCATGTTTGAAATAATTTTCATAGGTTTTTAAATAATATAATTTAAAAATCTTATTTAAGACATTATGACGTGTTTTAAATATATGTTGTCTAGTTAAAAATGATGATGAGAACGATTTTTTATCAATAGATAAACATGCATTAAAATGAACTGATAATGTATTCATATCGGTATAATTAACAAAACGTCGATCACGTGATTCATCGTGATTATGTCCTGGTAACGATTCAAGATCAGTTGCTAACGGGAGAATCAAATCGTTGGATTGTCGTTTTCGTTGATGAGTATCAATTTTTATATTATCATCATTTGACGTAGTATTGTTTCCTGAGAATTCTTTTGATCTTGCCGATTTACGAATGGTAATTTTTTTTCGACGAATTGAAGAACGCCTGGGCTCTGAAGCAAAATAAATGTTATTTAGTCATACAAGATATTGCTAGCAAGTTCCAAGGGAATAGAGTGAGATTAGACTTCTCATTCTTTCCTCTATATTTCTAATTTGTGAAAGGAAATTTTCCTTGTGAACCATCTACCATGTTGCTTACTGGTAGGAGTACTCTCATCGTTCTTATTTAACAAGCAATCACTAAATCTGTATGTTATCGGTATATGCAGAATATGGAGTGCTAACAACTTTATTCAGGATTCAGTACACATTAGAATTTTTATTTCACCCCTGAAGAATTGAATTAGATACTTGTTCTATTATTCCCATGGCTTGTTTTTGTCATTATGACATTCATCTTGCCGTTAGCACTAAAAACTCATACAACATAGGCATCATTTCAAATATGACCCATGGGCGATTGGAATGGAAAATTTTCGCTCATGATTAGTTCTTTTGATATTTTGTTTAGAATAAAAGGAAAGTATTCATCTCTCAGGTAGAACTTAAAGAGGATATACTAGAAACATTGACTTTCAATCGTACTTTGTCTGATAGCAACATAATTGTTGTTTTTTTTATTCTCGTCGTGATTTTCTCTCATAATTTAGTAAATATATATTTAAAATGTTGGATATGAAAAAATGCGATGTTCAAACGAACCTTTTGCTTTTGTTATTGGTGGAATATGAACCACAGGTATATCCTCTGATGAATGCAAAGGTGTTGATGTCAAACTAATAATTGAAGGTGGAGATGTTAAATTTGGAGATTTCGAGGCAAGATGATCAAGATAAATGGTTCCGGGAGATTCTGATAGATGACCATTTGTATTTGTTGGAGTTGTTATACTACTGTTCATTGATGATTTATTCAAGTCATTAGATGATGTTGGCGGGGATTCTGTTTTACGAATTGTTTCCATTAATTTAAACCAACCACGCATTTGACCCGGTGAGTCGACATTTGTCGACGATAATTTTGATTTATCCTAAAAGTTCAGATGTCAATTAGTCGTTAAATATAGTTGAAGAGAAAAGTTCTTGCCATGTGCTGATTTTCTGTCGTCATCGTTTTGGATATTCTATTGATAACATCTATAAAATCTCAGAAGATGTCGTAACCAAAAGAAACGAAGTTTCGTTCAACGACATATAGATTTATCATAATATTTGACAGATATGACAACAATAAGAAAGAAATCAAAACTTCAATGATCTCTTTTTTTCTTTCTTTCTCTCTTTCTGTTCTTTTGTCGTTGATTGTTTGTTTACTCTATTGAATCCATTATTTATATTTAACTATTCTACAATAATTCTATTGGATAAATTATCCAACTACCAATCATTTTTGTTGATTTTGATTTTGTGGCTTTTTACTGGAGAAAATCTTAGTTAACGAATCAGCATCCATCTACTATATTGACAAGGTTCTCTGTTTGAAATAAAATTTTGATCAAAAAATATTATTCAATGAAGTTTGAGTTATCATTTATAAATCTAGTATATTAATAAGCTTTTATAGATGTCTCTAGTTACCAACGAGAGATACCATATATCATCTCCGGCTCTGATCATCATCAAAAACTGTATTTAAGAAGGAATCTCACGATGAGACTGCGATTATTGAACTTAAAGCTATTTTCAGAAACAAAGAATAATACGAAATCTACATTTAAAGAGTTGTAAAAAATTCCACGATTTAATGATATATTGAAACTATAGAGTGTAACTTTCTCCCACACTGCTATAAAAGAGTTTCGGATGATTTTTTCTATTTTTGAAAATGAAGAAAATAAAACCAATATAAAATATTGAAAAGAATAAAACCAGTCGGAAATACAATACGAGCAAACGAATCAAGTTCACTTCGACTATTTACGCCGAACCGTGATGTACGTTTACGTATAGAACGCTTATATTTTGTATTTCCAGATATGCAAAACCAAAATCGATGAAAATAACGCCAAACATTTCTTAAGAATGAAATTTCATTTGTTGGAATTCTTCTTTCATTGATGTTTATAGAACGAGGATAGAACAATGATGGGCGAGCTATATAATTTATTTGTACCGGATTATCGTCGTTTAGTTCAATACTATCTAGGGAATCTGTAAAATATGTCAATGGTTCACCATAACCAAACTACAAAAAAGATATGAACTATTATCTCGGATAAGCATTAATATAATCTTACTTTTGTAAAATAATGAACAAATGAAAATTGAAGTAATGAAGCAAGTAAAAATGCATGAGTCATCATAACAAACCAATCGAGTGCTGTAAGATACGGAACAGCAGCAGTGTAATTTCTTATATCAAAACTTAATGTTGTTAAACTGAGAAAAGTCATAACACCAATATTTACTCGATCAGCGGTTGCTTCACGATGAATGAAAAATGAAACCCATGAAAGTATAACTAACATTGAACTTGGTATATAAACTTGAAGAATATAATAACCCATATGTCGTTTCAGAACGAAATCAGCACGAAGAATTGAAAAATTTCCTATTATAAGAAAAATCAATTCTATGTTTCATTATCAGGATAGAAGTATAAGTTCGAGTTGTACGTAAAAAATGGATGTTCTAGTATCGATTTTTTTATTACGTACGTCCGTTGATATAGGAAATTTCATCATATTGTGAATATTGAATAAGATCAAATTGTGACAATACAACTTTTGTATCGAAATTAACACTTTTATTATTTCCTAGTCGCCAACCATATTCAATATCAGATGCTGCATTAGCAACTAAAAATAAAAATCGATAAAGAAGGAAATTTAATTTTTATTGTTTCGCATTTTACAGCTTCCAATAAGTAATTGGCAAATTTGTTTATCAACAGGAAAATTCTTTAAATTCATATTACATTTAGCTTTTACTGTTATTCTAAGAAGAAAGAAGAAAGAAAAATGAATAATAATAATAATAATAGACGAAAGTTTTCTGTCTTTCTTTTTACCGTGATGAGTACCATATTGATCCGTCTGGGAAAAGACGCCATAAACGATTACTTGTTGGTATTGTATGTAAATAGGAATATTTCGAATTATAGAATACTGTATCAGGTCTCCAAAGACGTTCGAGCATACTTGTTGATAGAGAAAGAACACCAACATCTTCGTTAAATTGAAGACGTTCATCACGCCATCGTTGTCGAAAATAACAATTCATTGTATATGACTAAATTATATGATATAGAATACAAATAAAAAGAAAATGACGATTTGTTTTCATACAAACCATATCAATATCTTGAATAGGACCAAATGAACTAACCAATATATCAAAATCAATTTTAGTTGCACCTTCTACATAGAATAATTTTAGATAAGTAAAAAGCATTAACTATTTTAATTACCTCCAAAGTTCGGTCGAATATGTGCTTGATAATCTTTTAAAAGTTCATCAAGAATGGTTGTTATTTGATGTGAACGTGTTGATGCGATAGTTGCATTATTGATAGCGAGAGTTTTATTCACAAATAGTTCTACGTTATTTATCATAGACAGATAAAGAATCAGCTTGATTATTAGAACTAAATACATGTTTGCATATATTAACAATCGCCGAAAATCTGAATAGATTGGTAATATTTTGTAGTCTGGACTGTTATTTACATTTTTGACTCGAAGCTGTTCTATGGATGAATTGCATTTGATTGTATCAGCAAAAGAAGAGCTGTGCACATCAATAGATCTTGTTCTCTTTCTTTCTTGTTTTTTTTTGTTATAAGAGGCAAGTGTTGTTCTAGTAATCTATTTTCTATGGAATTCAATCAATAAGAGAAAAGAACATGATGTTTATATACTTCTATTATCAACGGAACATCTTATCAAACACTAAAACTAATGAAGATTTTGACCGTCTGTTTTTGGCACTGGATTTGATCAATTGTGCATAAAAGAGAATATTTAGTTCAAACGATAGATAAATTCAAAAGAGGCTTTTATAATCGAAATCTGTAGAATGTTGGACTATCATATTAATACGGCAAAATAAGAGGATGAGCTTTAATTTCGTAACGAATATTTGATCGATAACTTTTGTTCATATTAAAAAATCGATTTTATATTTTTGAATTAATAACATTAGCGTATTTAATCATACTCTCATACTTGAATCAATGCTTCTAAAAACAGTTACAGTCTTAATTAGAAAATAATGCATTAGGAAACGTGCGTGATATTCAAATAAAGAATGTCATTTAACATTGCTTACTGTGTGTAACATTTAATTATTGTCTCACACTTTCTCTACGGATTGATTCTATTTCTTATTTCTCAATTCAATCAAGATAGACAAAGAAAACTAGAATTTTGAATAATTGTCCAGAAGAAAGCCTCAAGGTTAGAAATAACAAATACTGTCTAGGATTATGTTTTAATATTGTTCGCAAATGCCCATTCAGCTGCCTTTTCTAGTCGGCTCTCTCATAAGTAGCAGTCCAATTATACTTCAATTTCGGCACATCAAGCCCAAAATAGAAAAAAAAATACTATATTCAAGTAGTTGTCTAATCTTATAATAGCAATGTTCGATAGTTCTTCATTAACTTCAACTGATAAAATATATAAATTCCACTTTATTATTTCTTTGAAACGGGTACACTTACTCTCTTTGCTTCAACGAGAATAATGGCATTCAATATTGACATAAACAATTGCTTTCTTCAGATTTATTGTATTGCTAACTAGAAAAAAACTATTATCAGGAAAGATTATGACCATATTGGATGAATTTTTAAAATATTTTTTTTCCACTCTATAGAACATAAATAAAAACGTTGACCTAAAGGGTTTGAGTGTGAATCTGATTGTGGTTTGCATTCCGTCAGAGTTCAACTGACCACGATTGTGTTTTAATTATTCCAGGAATAACTGCCATAAGTGCAGATGTGAGAGTAGGGGCAGCATCTAGATGGAGTACAACTTTCATGCAATCGTTTAAAAAAATGTCTCTTTATCGATAGGAGGACCACCGAAAATGGATAAACCGTCGATATCAGTATCTACTTATAGCTACCAATAATGATCAACAAGCTGATTTTTCATGAGCATAAAAATTCTTCTAACTATCTATTACACCAACAACATTCAAGTTACAAATTTTTATCGTCTGACGTACGCAATCTTAAGTATTAATTTATTTCAGAAACGTTTCAATCTTTTTAATGAGGAACAAATTATGCCTTACTACACATTGAACTGACTTCATGTTAAAATTAATTGTCACCTATTTCATTGTATATACAACCCGCACAGTTTTCTTGGGGATGTTTTTTCTTTCTGATTTTTTTTGTCTTGATTCAATTATACTCGAACGTGTATGAGTTTTTAGTATTGCTGTTGACTGTATTTTTGATATATCTAGAAGATCAAATTAGAAACGAACTCATTAAATCAGTGGTTATTCAATAGGATTATAATATCGTCGTAGAAAATAGTCAACGAATACAGAGCGATTTTTATATAAGTGCTAATTCGAGCAAGCTAGGATCAAATGTTTGATCATCCTGACGAAACATTCAAAGGCTATGAAAAATCAACAAAAAGATCATGTTAATGAAAAAAAAAACAGTCTGATCGAAATCTTACAGAAAATGTTATTCAAATGACATACCTCTAACCGTTTGAGCATACTCTGTGCTCTATCTACATAATTCTAGCTGAGGGCTCATCTTAAAGCGTTTCTTTGTTGTACTGGATTGTTTTGAGCTGAAATAAAGTATGGTCTAGTTTTAAACTATGGCTAGAAATTCGATAAACTAATTTCACCTTTGTCGATAGCTTTGATAATTGTATCAGTAAGACGTGTATATTATGCTCGAGTTTAAATATACTTAGATAATTACGATAGTTCTCTTTCAATGCTTCTTTTATACCAGCAACGAAGGACTCCATAGAAGATCCATCAGCATGCTGTTGAAATTTTGGTAAAAATAATCTAAGCTATTGTTTCACATAATTGTCTCTAGAGGAAAAGAAAGAAACTTTATAGAAATATTTTAGTTTTCATACGCAATGCTAGTATTTTTACTTGAGGTTTCAATTAACGTGCCGAATATATTTGCTAAACGACTAGTACTCTGAATGATAACTACTGGCCTCTTTTTATGTAAATCGTTTCTAATGACTTGAAGAGTATTGTGACCACCTTCAATGATAATCGTTATGGCATGACAGTTCGTCTTTAAACATAAGGCATTAATGAAATCTGAACGAGGATGATCATCAAGATAACCCCCGATACGACCATCATCTAATATAGAAGAAAATGACTGCGATACTTGTCGAGTGTTTTTGCTTCGCTCCAATTTAAATTCATCGTTAGGTTTTTTCCATTCAATTGTGTCAAATCAACGTTCTCTAAATTTTCTGATGCCTAAAGAAGACGAATCACCTGAGCACATCTTGAGTATGCTCTGTCAGCGTACCCCAACTACTTAATCCGATAATAATTGGTTTGGATGACTTTTGATGTAGCAAGGTAAAACGATGTACACCCTGTCCTATTAACTTTGATACAACTTGATTTAAACCTGTCGTCAACAACCATACACCTATTCACTTAACTAATATCGAAGTATTTTCTTCGATTTCTCTAGTTTATCAGGCATAGCAAAATTTGCAGCTCCACCGAAACAGCTGATAAGTAAGTCGGAATTAGCACCTACCAGAGACGTGCACAGGACAGGGCGGTCCTGGTGTCCTGTCCTGGAGGACAGGATGAGATTTCGATTTTTGTCCTGCCCTGACGCCCGCCAGGACCAAAATAGCCAGCAGGACGGTAAGGACAGGACAAAAAATCTTGTCCTGTGCACGTCTCTGGCACCTACGTCTTCGGCAATCAATTCGAGCAACTTTTAAACATATTTCCAACGGACCCGAATCGCATCGAACGAACTCAAAGGAAAATCAAAATTTCTTGTTCTACTTTCTGGTAATATTTTCATCATTCACATACTCGGGTGCCCTTGTCCAAATCTCAAAGTTGTCCATAGACGGTCAGTGGTTTTACTACCACGACAAAATTTAATTCGTCAAAAGTAGTTTCCTTGGCATACTGCGTTTGAGTTTCACCAATGAAACTGTGACGACGTATCAATCGACCACAAGAACATTTCCTGGCGCCTGGCCTGTCCTGCAGGCATACATGAAACCAAAAACGTTATGTGTATTTTTATAACATATTCATTAGGTTCAATTTTGGTCATGATGTTGAGGATTAATATGATTATTTCTTTCTTTTCTTAATAGTAATAATATTAAAAAGTTGTTTTATATATTAGAAAATAAAAACTCTTTGAATTAACACCACTAACATTTCACATAAGAAACAACCACTATTAAACAATTTATAAATATGAACCGTAATAAAGTAATAAAAGGTTAAAATGCATTGACTATACTTTGTCTTCGTTTCTTTGATTTCGCTTTTTTTTTATTGTGCCTTTAATGATAATCGTGGGAGTAAATTCAATCCAATCATTATTCGCTTTCTTCTTTTTCTGAATTTGCAAATGGATCGTGACGATACTTACCCATGTAGCCGATAATGGAAAAATTTCCCATTATTTGGAAGATAGTGCATGAAATAGATTGCATTTTAATTACATTATGCAGATTATTTATGAAAATAATGGAAAATAATGTCCATTATTTTACATTATCGGCTACATGGGTAATACAGAATTCAGTAGATAAAATCATTCCAAGTCAATTTTGAGCACGCTAGACAGGATAGCCTGGTCTGGTAGGTGAGCAGGCCAGACTGGCATCTCTGATTGAGCACACGATTCGATAATATTAGTATTGTTGTAAACAAGGTTTTATTTATTGAGTAATAGTATGATGTGTCACACCTTGTAATGTCTGAATGGCTCGTTTTCTTTCTTTGTGCGCAATTGACGACAGTAATAACGATATCAAAATATAAAAAACATCTTAAAGACATTTTTCTACTTCCGCGAGGGAAATTTTCCTCTTCGTTTTCCTTCTCGTCGTTGTCATTATTTGATTTTACGCGAAAAAGTGCGTTAAAAATCATCAAGCAACGACAGCGTCATATCTGTTCGAAGTAAGATGCCTTGTGATTCAATTCCAGCGCTTAAATCGGCAGAAGACGTATTAAAAAAGATACAAACCAAAAATTTGATTTTAACTTTATTTAATAGGAAGTAATATTTTCAGTTATCATCGTACGTTGTAAACGTGGCACTACAAGTGCCAGAGATAAAAAAAAAGGTGTTCTTGTCGAAAGAAATATGTTGGTTTTTCTCACATTGCACAGAAATTCGTGGAAATAATCTTTTAAAACGAAGGTTGAGTTGATAGATCTTTGGAGTATCATAGTTGAATAACAGCTATTTCTATAAAAGACCAGCTTGCACTTCGCTATTATCTTTCAAAAATATGCAATAGTCATTTGTAAAATAGTTTGACATTCATATAATCGATCATATTATATTAGATGTATATAGTGTCATACTTAACATTAAACTGAACTGTCGAGTTAAGATTGTTGATTTTCTAAAAATCTATTTGCTTGCATTCTTCAAAACCATAATCGTGAATTTGTATAATTTAAACTTGTCACTGTCTTAGAAAATGAGAGACTGAAAGTTATGCTATTGAAAATAGAATATAATATACTTTCAGTAGCATTAAGGTTCACCAGTCTTCAGCTATGAAAATTATTAAAAACCTAGCATGTAAAGATTTAGTAAATATTCAAAGGATTCGAACTCTCACCCGACTATTGAGTATCACAATGAGCTTTTGAAAAAGTGACTCTTTTAACTGAAAAAAACCGCATCTAAATAAATTTTTTTGAATGAAACTAATTTGTAATTTTTTTTTAAGCTCAGTTTGGATTTCACTTCATAATTTCTGCTCTCAATGAATTCGATGCAAAGCTGTATTTAATTGGTTGGTTAAATACAACTGACATGAACCTAAAGCTGTTCAGACTCTAATGAAAAATTTTGCACAAGCAAACAGCCGTACGGTTGCTTTCAAATGGCAAGCCGACCAACTTTGCCATAGGATCGTTTGAAGGACGTCATGACTAGTAAACAGAGTTAATTGTTGTTTGTTTGCTCAATTCACGCAGTGTCATGGTGAACTATTACACAAAATATATTTTTGAAAAATTATTTCAAGAGGCTACAGCAGATTTTAGCCGATTTTTATACTTTGCCCTGAAAAAGTTATGTCATTGTTTGCATAGTCACTTCATTACTAATTTCACTAGACTAATTAAGAATTTCATCGCTAAAATGAATTATTTTCGTAATATTGATACATGAATGTTTGAAATGAGTAAGAAAAAAGTTATTTTCCCTATTTTTAAGTATTAAAAGCTATTTAAAATCACAGACAATCGATCACAATCTAGGCAATCAGAGAATCAGCTTTTCCGCCTTGAATATAAGTGAAAACTACCTTGTCCAAGAAACCTTTTACCACTTTATCGATACTAAATATACTCTTATCTATCGATATAATATTCGACGTCAAACCCCATGACAAGCTCAAATTGCTAAGTTTTCCTGATCTTGTTATAATGACTGAATGTTAATGAAATTGAAATCAATCTGAAGAGATTCTTGAGTAAAGTTAAAGTCAGTCATACTTTGTGTCGATACACTCACACCCTTGTAGTCAAGGCACTTGTTTTCAGTAAAATAGAACACAAAAGAAACTATGGGACTCATACTGATAACAAGAATTCTGCCGTTAGATTAGATGGCAATGTATATTGCTTTCACGTGCGGCGGCTCGTTCATGATGCTGCTCTAGTTTCTTTTTCATTTTTTCCTTTTATCTTTCATACGGACCGCATTTGTCAGTATAATGAAAGAATGAGCTACAATAAATAAGACAGGTGATCTTCTATGCATGCTATTCAGTTCATTTTTAAAAGTATTTTACTTTAGATAAGATAAAAAGAATAATAAATAGAGAATAGTTTTTTGTTATTTTACACACTTTTCTATTTGTGCAAGTTGGTTTTAGTAAAAAAATGAGCAAGGATACTACTGGAGAACTCTACTTTTTTAGTAAAACAACTGACGGCTCTCCTCCCTGGATTGATGGAAATCCTGCATTAGGTTGGACAGGGTCAAATTTCGTACGAACACCAACTCGTATCAAAATTCATGATTTGCGAGGCAAGGAAAATACTGTGGATCTTGATACACATGGCTTTGAAATACTCAAGTATGACGGTAATGTACATGATGAATTTGATGACAACAGTGAGTCGCAACGACATTGTTATGATGACATTGTTGCTATACTCAAAAAACATCTCGGTGCGTCCCGTGTAATCATCTGCAATCATATATTTCGTTACCGATCGACACCACGAGCTACTGAGCGGTGTGATGAAAGTCACAAGAATCCCGTCTTCTATCCTCATGTGGATTATGATCCACCTGCAGCTCGCTTAAAAGTAGAACAAGTACTCGGTGTCGAAGAAGCCAACCAATTGCAAGAGAAACACATTCAAATTGTTAACGTTTGGCGACCTATAGGTCCTAATCCTATAATGAACACTCCTCTGACTATTTGCGATTATCGATCGCTGGATATCAAAAATGATATTCATTTGGCAGGGGCGCGAGGATCAACAAGCACCGTCAGCGTCTACATAGTCTCACACAACTCCCAAGATGCCCAAAGGTGGCATTATCTGAGCCAAATGCGGTCAGATGAAATGTTTGTCTTCAAAAACTACGATAGCAATTCGGAAGGCGCACAATTCGGCGCTCATACAGCATTTATCGATGAACAACTACCTACAATTGATACTGAACAGAAAAGCATTGAAATGCGCTGTATTGTGATTTATGATTAATAATAAAAACTAAATCCCATGTGAACCAAATATATATTTAATATGTAAGAGTTTAGATTTTAATAGTTGCCGTGTTACATGCGATCGCCAGAGTGAAGAGAAGAATCGTTTGTATTGATTGTTTCTATTGATCATGGAGTTGAGTTTCGCAGTGAAAACACAATTCGTAGATTATGTTCGTTCTGTTAATCTTGACTGATCCTGTAAAACGAACATATGTGTTTCAAACATTTTTACCATCGGTGAAAACTCAAGTACCACTTCAATAACTTGTTACTGATAGAAAACTATTATGTTGTCTCCAAATAGTCTATATTTCATTTTGGTTTCTGAAGTTTTGTCTTGGGCATCGGAATACAAAAAGAATTGATTGATCAATAGGCAATGTTTGTAGAAAGGCCACATGAAGAACATTCAGCTCGTTGCGAAGATCATGTCAATAAATGATTGCGATTGTGATTTGTCTTCATATACTTATATCATGTGGATATCTCATAAATTTTCTAGATGTTTTACATCGCACTGATAGGAAAAGAGAATCGTATTGAGATTTAACTTTTTTTCTTTATTATAAGAACAATTGAAATATTTTATAGTAGAAATACTAGAACTCTTCAAAAATTATCATTTGGTGCCAATAAACTCTAATTTGACAAAGGTCTGTGACTTGCTTTTCATTGGAGAACTTAAAAACGTTGATGAATCTTGTTGATAACATTTCGATGCGAGAATAATAAATTTAACCCCAAACTATATATAACACGTTACATTAACTATCAATCTATATTATTTTCACTACTCGAATATCTTGACACAATTGCTGGAGTCAATATTTTTTCGTTGAATATAGTTCTCTAATATATTCCTCTCACACCTATGTATTTTCTTAGTTAGTTCTCATTTATAGCTGTGCTTCAGTGCCCGACATGGGTCAACTTGTTTTGAGTCTACCAGACCCGATCCAAAATCAAACATTTATTTTGGCAACGAGACTCGGACTTGACGATCAATAATTCCATTTATTTAGAAAACAAAGAATTGCGAAAAGATTTCAAAAACTTTATAATATTGTAATAGAACGTTGAATGCTAAAAGCATCAAATGTTGCACGTATTGAAGAACTTGATTAGCATTGATCTGATAGCTTCACTAGAATTGACGAATCATTTTAACGCATGTGTATAATGAGTTCACGCTTTTCCCCTCAAAATTTCTAGTTGCAATTATTTGCACTGTAATTCGACCGCTAATAGTTTTTGAGTAAAAGTTTTCATTTAGCTTCTTAACTTGATAGGATGATATTATTTAGATGAAAAAAGAAAATTTCTTGATGCCATTAAAAGAGAATACACGTTGAACGAACGAAGTAAGTTCAGCCAAATATTTAATTAAGTTTTTAAATCATTACAATAAAACACCATATAAAAAATCCCATAAAGAATGAATTGAAGAATTGAATTATTAATCAAAAACTAATACAATGATTGCATTTCTGAACGCAACACAGACGTTGAACAAAGCTGACAACATATTTCAATGACATTGTTATACACAACAGAAGGAGTATATGAAAATTGTTAATTTGAAGAATTGATAAAAGTAATTTATTTTTATTCGTACTTGACATAATATATTCTTCTACTGTAAATTCATATATTATTTTCAGCCCTACCAAGGAAAGGCTTTTCAACACGGGTAAGTAATAATCAGACTTCAATATCTATCTTTCGGTCTTCTGCAACAAGTAACGCGACGTAAGCGTCGTTAATCCTCTACTGAAATGGGTGACCATGTTTGATAAATAATAAACAAATAATACAAGTTTTGGCGTAAGAATTCAACAATACTATTTTCCATGCCTCTACGTAGTGATAAGTGTATCCAACGTATTAGGTATTGTGCATAGCTGGATGTGGATTGTTGGATGGCCTTTTATTTAGATTCAATTACTAAAAATCTCATTGACAGTTTCATAAGTAATATATTGCTTAGTCCGATAGAGTTTTAATATTTAATTTTATTCTTTTAATAAACCAAAGGTTCATGAGAAGTCTATTCTGTCATTTTGAAACATTCGGATTGAAACCTATAAATAAGAAT